AAGTGCAGAGGAGAGGAAAGAAGAGAAGAGAAGAGTAGAGAAGAGAAAAGAAATGTAGAGAAGAATAAAGAAGAGAAGATTAGAGAAGAGAAGTGCAGAGGAGAGGAAAGAAGAGAAGAGAAGAGAAGAGAAAAGAAGAGAAGAATAGATAAGAGAAGAGAAGTGCAGAGGAGAGGAGAGAAGAGTAGAGAAGAGAAAAGTGTAGAGAAGAATAGAGAAGAGTAGAGAAGAGAAGTGCAGAGGAGAGAAGAGTAGAGAAGAGTAGAGAAGAGAAGAGAAGAGATAAACATATATTGTCATTTTTTACTGTGAACACGCGGGCTCACGTTAAAAAGGACCTTCAGTTGCCTGATCTCAAAAGAAAGTATCCATCTACGCATGCCCATACGTAACGCTCACATCTACCAGGGCTATATACATACATATACATTGTGCCTATCCATATACCTCCCTGTCCAGTTTGAATACATTTAGCAGAAAGGAAACGTGAGAGCTCACAAGATTTACAACTTGTAGGAGCACCATCGCTGGAGGAAGTTTTTTTTTTTTTAAAAAAAAATAAGAGACCGGACGGCCACCTATCTGAAACGGTGTACAGTCACCTGCTTGAGCGGGGGGGGGTGGGGGGTCAGACTAGAAGACCTCCAAGGTCCCTTCCCCCACTCGGTCATTCAGATGGTGTCAAGGGACTGGTCTGGAGGTCTCAAGCAAGCCGAGGAGGGGTCCAGAACCCGGGCTCTCTGGGAGCGAGGCACAGCTCAATGCCCTCACGGGGGACCCGGCTGGCTTTCCTCTGTGGCCTCCTTCCAAAGATGTGTAGAAATGTTTGGTGTTGGGATTCCGGCCGTTACACCCCCGATTAAAAATCCTGAGTCTCGAGCCAAACTTGCAAAACTTCCAAAAAAGGATTTATTGGGAGGGAACATGCCGGCACTGCCTGGGTGCAGCCGACTCTCCAATTCTCCAATGGGACACAGCCGTAGCCCAGAGTCCTCCATCTTGTTCTCCAATTAGAATTTTGCACCGGCGGAAACTATGGTTCTCCTAGTTTACTATCTTGGAAAACCTTTAAACCAGAGATATTTTTCTTGGGTAGGATACAGTAGAGAATTGACATATTTGATTTATAAATGTTTTTTAACAGCGGCTAGAAATTGAACTGGCTCAAAACTGGAAAAGTGGAAAAAATTCCGTCACAAGACGAGGCGATTAAAGAAAATAACGGAATGCGCAGAAATATCAATAAATGGGACATGAGTCAATTAATGTTAAATGGACATTAGAAATTAAATGGACATTAGAAATTAGACAGCCAGAAGACAGAATATTATCAAAATAGGGGATTTATTTTATCAATGGTCAGATGAGAAAATGGGGGAATAAAATATATTCTAATATGAATGCAACGTAATGGTAAAGATAAGACAGCGTAATGAGGTATTAGAACTGATTAGAATGAAATGAATGACAGGATGAATATTTAGAAAAAGTGGAGATTTGCTCGAAAAGGATGACGTGATTTTTTTTATTAATCTTTTATAATTTTAAAAAGTCAAACAACGACAAAATAGATCTTATATCAACAGTTTGCGACATGCGTCTTTATCCTCAGACTTTGTGCATTATTTACAAATATACAAAATTGTGCGAATATGAACTTATCTAGTATTTATCTCTATTTACAATCCATTTATCTATGATGTGAATTTATAATTATAGTCCATTAAGGAGTTAATAATAATATAGTTTATATAAATCATTCACTTATCTAGTATTTATCTCTATTTACAATCCATTTATCTATGATGTGAATCTATAATTATAGTCCATTAAGGCGTTAATAATAATTTAGTTTATATAAATCATTTACTTATCTACTCATCTCTATTTACAATCCATTTATTTATGATGTGAATTTATAATTATAATAATATAGTTTATATAAATAATTTACTTATCTAGTACTTATCTCTACTTACAATCCATTTATCTACGATGTGAATTTAAAATTATAGTCTATTAAGGCGTTAATAATAATTTAGTTTATATAAATCATTTACTTATCTAGTACTTATCTCTATTTACAATCCATTTGTCTATGAAGTGAATTTATAATTATAGTCCATTAAGGAATTAATCATAACATAGTTTGCAAAGCTGATCTGTTCAATATGAATTTTAATCTAAATTTAGGAGAGAAAGACCGTTGATAATTGGGCACAAGAGATATGTACCTACTGACCCGCTGTGTAAATGGAAAGATGCTTTTATTTGACGTTTTATGTTTGCATTGGTCAATGTTGGTCGTCAAAAGAAATAAATAAAAACTTTTTTAAAAAAGAAAGAAAACATTGACGGAATGCGCTTTCGGTTTCCAAGCTGCCGCACTGCTCTCCCCTCCCTCCTTTTCTGTTGGCCCGCTCAAAAGAAACCAGAGAAATATTTGATGAGTTGACGGTTGGGGGGTGGGAGGTGGCACATGGATCTGGAGAGCCACGCTGGCCTCTCTCGGGGGTCTCCCCTGCCCATCCACCTCACCTCACACACACACACCCCGACTGTGCAAAAAAGGCCCATGCTGTTGACCTTCTTCCCTCGGTCCCTTCTAGATCTCCGCCAGGACATGCTGACCCTGCAGATCATCCGGATCATGGAGAGTATGTGGCAGAACCAAGGCCTGGATCTCCGGTAGGACGGGGACGTTGGGTTGAACGGTGATTGAATGGGGGAGGAACGTTGTTATGATATGTACAGAATAACCCTTGAGTAACAAGGACATGTTTATGAGAGTAGCTATGAATAATTATCCAGCCGCACCCAGATACGCTAAATTGAGTTAAAAGTTTTACTTTAAGAACCAGCGCCGTCCAATAAACGGTCCAGCTCATGTACGTTTTACAGTCGAAAGAATATCCAACTACAAAGTCTTCTTACCGGTTGCCTTAGTCATTTCCAAGATATCAAAGTATAAGCACAGCGTAAAGACAACGGAGAACCTTAGATAGCAACAGAATGTCAGACAGACAGAATGTCGGAGAGAACAAGCCATGATCTCTAGCTCCCTCTTGGGGTAATTCGCAATATAATCAACCAATCGGAATATAGTATATAAATCAATACAGTGATTTTGTCTGAAAGCTACAAACTTACATTGTTGGTTTATATCCTTGCCAAGCCAAACTAAGTGGTGGACTCAGATTCCGAACAAACGTCGGACATACTGTTGATCTGGAAGAATGGGAAAAAGGATCTGGAAACGTGAACGATAAAAATAACAAAATTGCCAGCGTATATAAGGAAAACCAAGTTTAAAATGTTCTATCGTTGGCATTTGCCACCTCCAAGACTGGCTAAGCTTTACCCAAATTTAAAACCAACTTGTTGGAAGTGCGGACAACGACGAGGTATCTTCTTTCATTCTTGGTGGACATGCCCCAAAGCGGAAAAAAAAAAAAAAAATACTGGAAAAGGAGTCAAACTTGGTTAGAAGAGTAAAAAAAAATAAATGATTTTGTCCCGGAATTATTCTTCTTAGGAATAATTAAAAAAATAAAAAACAATAATAGAAAGATAAAATAGCTTATATTTATATATATTCACAGCAGCAAGAATTAAAAAAAAACTATAATAGAAAGATAGAATATCTTATATTTACATATATTAACAGCAGCAAGAATTAAAAAAAACTATAATAGAAAGATAAAATATCTTATAT